TACTGCTCCTCCTGCTGCTGCTGCTGCCTCGGAGGATGAGGAGAACAAGTAGCAATTGCCACAAAAGTAATAGTAGCAGTAGCAGCTGCTACCACTATTACGGCAGGTTCTACTACGATGACAACTACTTCGCTGCTGTGGCTGCTCCTTCTGCTTCAACATCAGCATCTAACACAGCCAACAGAAACCGAAAAAGTAGTTACCAACCGACAGGCTGCAATCCAACAGCAAACCGCACCCACTAAATACCATGCGCCCGGAGCTCTCTTTCACCATGCTGACAGCTCTGCTGGTGGTCTCTTGCAGCGCGATGGTCGGGTTCTCCGTCAGCCCGATACGGCCTGCCACCTGGGATTTTCCGTGGGGTGTCTGTCTAGAGCCTCAAGCAAAGATCCAACCTCGGAAAAACCAAAAACCTGAACCACAAAATCTGAGGCGTATTATAAACTCGACCTACTCACACCTGAAAACTTTACAAGGATATTAGTTCACAAGTCTTCAACCTGTCCAACAGACCAACAGATGACTTCCAACCGTGGAAGGCTCCTAAGCCCACTAGCTCGTTTGTCTGCTGAGCCTGAAGCTAGAACCTCTCCTTCGCCGACACCTGCCTCTCAAGCCTTCATTTGACACCAGCTGCGAGCTGAAGAATATGCCAAACTCTGAGTTCATTACTCCACATGCACAAATTGGTTCAGATCCTTCTGAGGAAACAGCGCAGACCTAGAAAGCACCTGAAACTACAAGCCCCACCCTCGAACATGAACAGTTTGAGATTCTCAAAAGCATGCGACTCAACTTCTCAAAGTTGGCGGATTTCTTCAGGTCGTGGAGCTAGTCCCTACACAAGTGCGGCACAGTTATTGTCTAATGTACAGCGAAACCCTTTTCTGATTACTAAGGCCTCGTTGTCTGATGAAAATAGCACAGGAACGGCACTCATCACGGCACGGATGTAGGAGGTCTTGTGCCGAAGCAGATCGAGCCTTTCAAGGGCTGGCATCAGCAAGTAGCCGTTGAGGGGTTAGGGTTCAGGGGGTTAGGCGTATCGGGGATTCAGGGCTTCGGGTTTGCTTTATGCGGCTTTTCAACCTTGAGGGTTCGGCTCATTTCAACCAACCGTGTGAAACAAGCTAGCCGACGAGAGGATCTTCGATGATTATGACGTGGGGTTTAGGGTTTATATGGGGTTTCGAATTTTCGGGTCAGGTTTCGGGAAGGAGACCCCCAGCCCGCCGCCCCAATCGTCAAGAAATTGTGCCGTGGACCACTTTGTATCAAGCCAGATCAAAGTCCACACCCCGCATTCCTCCTCCCCAGAGGAACCACCAGAACAAAGAGTGGCTCGGGGTTTCGAGCCGGGGCTCCACTCTGCCCGGTTGCCGTGAAGCCGCCGTAAGCTGAAAGCACACCAAGCCCCAAAACCCTAACCCGAAATTACTAAGCACTGAGATCTAAACATCCAAAACTGTGGACCCGGCACGGCCTTGTGAAAGGTCCTTCCACGGACTATAGGGAATTTTAATTAGTTTCAACAGCCCATGTGAACTTCGAGATCCAGCCCTGTAGCAATGTGAATCCCGAGGCCACCATCCAAGCCCCACAGAAAAACTTCGTCTCACTTTAGGGTGCTTTAGGATGCTTTGAGGGGGCTTTATGGTACTTTAACGTTACTCTAGGGTACTTTAGGGTTCGGGGTCCAGGTCTGTACAATCTCAATCTTTGAAGCCAGGTCATCTCCCTTCTTTCTTGTGCCTGACACCACAAAGCTTCAGGTGCTCCATGTAGCTGTCCGGGGTATATGGCGATTCGAGGCCTCATTCGGCTTACGGGCTTAAGCACAGACTGGTGGGATCCTAGATGCCAAAGGTAGTTGCAATCACTGCTGCAGCTGCTTGACAGCAGACTTCATCTTTAGTTGTTGATGCTCGTGAGTTCTTCCGCGGGGCTTCAACACATTATGTGAGGTCGGGGGGAAACGATGTGGGGTAAGGTCAAACAAAGCCTATACCCTAAACCATAGCCAAAGTCATCGAGATCACCCACTCCTTCATCACTCCTTAAACTTTCCCCTAGTACTTAAACGACCATGGGCGTTGTAGCTGGGGTTCCATTCACAAGGTCAGTCAGGTTTATGTGGGGTTGCCTGCTGCTGTTGTTTAATGAAAGACCAACGACTGAGCATGGAACAAGGCATTTTGCGGTTGCTGCCTTTCTCAAACACAAAGCCTGCACTGGCCATCCCAAGACCAACTGAAGATTACGGTAGTGCTTTTTTAGGGGTTAGGGTTTAGGGTGCTTCCTCTCGCTTGCCAGCAAAGGTACTCCAAAACCGAACCACACCCCTTGGGGGTCAGCCCAGGCTCAACCTCTTCAAGTGTGTTGCTTTCTACCTGGATTTTGGAATGGCGAAGTGGCGCGTGGTACATATGTGGAGCTGAGGGCTATATTGCATGGTCCAAGGATCTGTTAAGTTAAGATGTGGATTCACGACTGATGCTACTAGTCTGAGCTCCACATCTTACCCAAAGCTTGAACATTAAATTAATGCCCAAATGCTCGCACTGCTTTGCCCAGCAGCTCTGTTCCCAAGTTTGCCGTGCATTCGCCAGTGTCCGTTTGGCTTGCGACTTCCCGATGCCCTGGTGGCAGGGGGACGTGGCATTTCCGGTGAGCGCGGGGTCTATATCCCTGCCTAATCCAAATCCTAAACCTACAGGTTCAGAACTTTGTTGGCACTGCGTCTCGGAATTTGATTCTCGGGCTGTGCTTGGCTTTCAGCCTCTGGACCTCCAGGCTCTTCATTAGCCACCACGGCATCTTCGACAGCCATAAGAGATAAGCCCGTAATCCCGCAGATCGCAACCCCAAGATAAAACGCAGCATTTCTGATCGCGACCCTTCTACTAAAAGAAACTGTTACCTGTTACCAGTCTAGCCCAGCTCAACCCCTCACGCCAACGCAATCCGAAAAGACCGAGCGGCGAGTGCTGAGACCTGGACGAAGAAATCGCACCTTCAACCCAAAACCTCAGACCGAATACCAGAAGCTGTGATCCCCGGACTTTGCAGCGACCTCCAAGGTTCAACAGCAACAACTCAAGTCAAATTTCAACATCCGCAAAGTTTAAACCTGAGACCATCAGTCGTTACCAACTTAAAACTTATAGAGCTCTTATAGAGCCCTTCTGCAGCCCGTCTAGAATTGCCGAAGGCTGTGTGTTGCTTTTCTTTAGGTTTCTGCACGCCTGGACCCGTTCCATGACATCTTCGGGAGTTATGATCTCGCGACTCGAGAGCATCAGCTTCTCATCGCCATACTTCTCCAGGTACGCATTCCTGGCTTACAGTGTTGGGTTTTGGGTTCGGGAATGCATTCCAGGCAGTACATCATGGAGATATAGAAGCAAGAAGACCCTAGGGATGAATTAGTGCTCTTTCTTTTGGGGGGGGGAGGGCGGGGGGTGAGACTCAGATTCGGAGGTTTAGGTTGGTCATTTCCGGGCTTCCAGCGGCATGCGCCGTCGTCGGCTATGCTCGTCGGGCTAAGGTTGCTCATCCGATACTCCCAGGCCCTCCGCCAGCTCAAAAAACCGATGTCAGATGCGTATGGGGCGTGCTAGCACTGCGTTACTGCAGCGGCAGTCTTGCAGAATCTCACCGACTGCAGTGATGTGTAGATTGACCCAAAGCCACATAGCACGCGCTTTGACGTCAGAAAAAACGCCATCTAGCCGGACATGGCGACGCATGTTTTAAGGTTCAGCGTCAAGACAGTGCACTAACTTCACGCCTCGGAGACAACAAACAGTTTCGGCTAGGAGCGGTGAAAGTTAATTTGTCCAGCAGAACAGGCCTATCAACTCGATACCGTGACCCGGAGACCTTTGTTTTTGCCGGGTGGCCAAACTTCCGAAAGCCGCACTCTCTCTTTGTTCAAGGACTGCCGACCTTGATCGGGACTGTGCTTCAGCCCAAGCTTCGCCTCAAACACCCGTTAGTAGACCCAGTTAGATAGGCTGATAGCCTTAAGCCCCAAACAAAGATATGAGTACACCTGGCTTTCCTTGTTTGGTTCCATCATGTCAGACATGTTCTACCTCTCAAGATGCTCGCTGGTGACTAAATCCGTATCGTGTGCATCAGGCCATGTATGATGTACTGCAAGGGCACCCGAGGCCGTGACGTCTGCGGAGCATCTCGGAGATTTGTGCATCCAGTGTGGTCATGAGCGACATGCGGGACTTGACCTGTGTTTGGCGATGCCAGTAGGTGAAAACTCTGGAGCCCCACACCGGATGCCTGCACCCGAAGCCCTTGGCCTTAAACCCAATCCTGGTTTGGGATGTATGTGATCAGCGCAGCAGAAGCCGGAAGCAAGACCTTCGGCAAAGGACCTGTAATACTTGGGCGGATCCTGGAAACCAAGTAAAACAGTTCAGGGCTTTTATGTCAGGGTTTACAGCTTCAGGGTTTAAGGACCTCTGCCCTGCAACACATCAAACCGAAGTATTGCAACTGCGTAGGCTGCTAGCCGACAGCTTGAATCCAACGCTCTCACAAAGCCTCCATGCTCCCTATTTAGTAAGGCCGATAGTGCAAATGCCCGGCAGTCTCAGAATCTCGGAAAGCTCTGCAAAGCCCCCCCCCCCCTCCCCAAAAGGAACATCTCAGAACCGCCGCCTCGGAGTAGGCATCGAGGATGATCGCCAGGAGCATGTTCACAAGAAGTACCTCAGCTTAAGCTTCGATCGCAAACCGTGGGAAGCCGACTGAAGCCTATGAAATACACGTGCTATAGTGGTCCGTCATCCCAACGGGCCTGCGACAAGAAGGCCGGAAGACACCATCCGAAACCTTCTAGGAATGTGCCGAGAAGGTAGCCAGAGACCAACATGTACCTGCAGTAACGACAGAAGGCCAGGTCACGACGACGATGATCTGGAACGTCCACATCCACATCGATGCGATCAGCCGGCCTATGTGAGAGAAGGACGGACTGACGGCTCCAAGGACAGGGTGCAGCACTTCAAGCATCGGCACTGCGAACTACAGCTTCTGCCAACTCCGCCCACCATTCGCCTACCGATGACACCGCAGCCCTTCAAGGCCCTGAGGAAGCAACTCCGGGCTCAGAGGAAGCAGCCAATCATCCTGAACCCTGTGCCCCAGCATCTAATATATTGGGCTGAGCAAAGACCAATATGACTCCTTGACCTAACTTCGCGAATGCTTGCAAGGAGCCGTGTTCTAAGTGTTCAGACCCAACATTACTTCCGCTCAAATACCCTTAACCTAAAACCCTAACTGGAAGGAGGAGTTAGATCTCTGCGAATTGGGTCGAAGTGGCCTGCTCCGACCTTCTCCATGCTTGGCCAGTCCTCCATCGGGACCAAAACTCTCTTCTTCGAGGTTCCCGCTGTTCAGTCATCATATGTCTTAGAGTTGGAGGTTTAGGGTTTAGGTTGAGGATTCCTAGAGCTGGAGGATTAGGGCGTAGGTCTAGGATTCTTAGAGTCAGAGGTTGAGGGGTTAGGTTTAGGACTTTAGGATTCTTAGAGTTGGAGGTTTAGGCTTTAGGTTTAGGACTTAGGCTTGGCTCATTAAGTCTTGGGGCCAGAGGTCTAGGCCTAGCGGTGCATTGTTTAGGGCTTGGGTGTAAGTTGTGTTCTCCTTGAGCAAATAGCTTCTGAGCAGATACCCTGAGGAGCCCCACATCCCTTGTGATCCTTACGGATACTTTCCGGTAGCTTGAAGAAAAACTGAGGACTTTGAACAGAAGCCCCAAGGCTAACAAAGACCGAAGTTGCGAGAATGAAGCCGGAAACGGTGAAAAATGGAGAGTTCTGGCTAATTAGGAATAGTATCCCTCGTTCCTTATAGTCCACATATTATCATGACCATAATCTCCCCCTGGCGTACCTATAGCTGCTAAAGCTTCTATATCCGGGAAGTCACATCAAACATGTTTGAAGGTCCTGCGCCCCATATCTTCAAGCTATCGGGTCAGCGGCATAAGCTTCAGGGCTGCAAATTCAAGACTTCGTGGCTCAAGCCACATGTGGATAGAAGTGCAATTTGGTTTGAAGACTCTGCATTATTGCTTCCGGCTTTCGTCTTACACCCCGAGATGTACTTTTGAAGGCACATTCCATCACTTTGCACACATCGTAGAGGACTGAATGACTACTCAGACTACTCATGGTCCAATGGTCTCCCGGTATAGTTTTAGATTAAGGCCCCTGCATTACATGGACTGCGTCTTCCAAGGGTCCCAATCTCCGAACATGGCGCGGAAGCTCGAGAAGAGCGCTCGGTCCAGCGTGGCGAACTCCTGTAAGAGAAGAGATGCTGAGGGCCTTTCGGATGTTGGGCGTGGGGTTCAAGGCTGTGTATCGTGAAGGTCTTGCTTTCGAGCTTCGGCAAGGTCTGCGGTCACCCTCCCCTTCGTGTGATGGCTCCACCCGGAGACCCACTGGCATCAAGAGCTCGGGTAGGCTGGGTGTCTACGGTCGTCCGGGGTTGAGTTCGCAGTCTGATGCCAGTGTCCGACAGCCTAAACATGGGCCCCAATCTCGCGGGCGGAGGACTCAGCAAACTTGCACAACCCCAAGCCCATGGCCCAGAACCGTCGAACCAAATTGCAACGTCTTCTCGTTGCGAATCCAATGCTTACTTGATACCAAAGAACGTCTTTGCAACTCCGAAGGAAGAGAGGGTGGCACTGCCAACTTAAGGGACCAAGCCGGGCATTGAAGTCATGCCTACTGCAAATTCAGTGCTGGGAGACTTCCCCTCGAAAGCATGTGCAACTGCAGAGATCAAAATTCAACTTCGTTTTAAAGTTCACGGACCTTGAGATGAAGCTCTAGCCTCCCAGACCGGGGACCCCGTTTCTTCCTGCATGTCTTGGCCGAATACCATCAAGGCATTGAGAGCCAAGCACAGGTACACGCAGGAAATGACGATGAAGAAATGTAAGATGTCCTGAGCTGTCACACAGACCCCTGATCAATGGACCTGCTTCCCGCCCAGGGTTCTGATACCTACTTACAAGTAGCATTGAGGCCCTTAAAGCAAGGGCGTTTAGTTCATCAGGGTCGTCCTTGTTTCTCGGACGCTACGGCCCGTAATCTTGTCACGAAGCCCTCGCAACCAAATTTCAGTAGATGTTCAATATTTGTCGACAACCATTAAGTTGATTTGTGTGTGTATATGTATATGTTTATTTATTATTTATTAGTTTTTTTGCTTTAGCTCTCTTCGGCGCTGAACCCAGCATCTGCAGGCCTCTCGGACGGCTTCCATCGTTCCGATCCCGAGCGCACGAGCGTGCTCTCGAAATGGGTCGAGATCTGATACTTGGGACAACATCAGCAGTTTCGACCCTGTTCCAAAAGAGTGCTGGAATCCGTCTGAGAATGCAAAACGGTAGAAACTCTCGCGGAATTGCTTGCCTTACACCGACAGTGTTTTTTGCGTGTTTTTCGTTGGTTGACAAGTTGCCCGACATCTTGGTGGCTGGAGTCCGGTCCTTGCCCTGCAAGTATAAGGAACCACTAAAAAGACCTGAACTTAACATCTTAAAGAAAATAAGCCTTCAAGGGGGCAGGCTTCACTTGTTCATGTTTCATCCGATGTTCATGTGTCCACCCTCTTCGCTGACTAGGTTCAAGCGGTTTAGGGTTTAGGGTCCATGCGGGGTAGGGGAAACATGAAGGTGAGGCAAGTGTTGTTGCTCCGAGAAAGAAAGTTCGGCCTGAGCCCTAGTAGTGCCTTGTCGTCTTTGCTCGAGAAAACCAGGCTAGCTCGGTTGAAAACAAGAGCGACGTTTCTGGCTCTTGGAGTTCCGCATCAGTTCGCGTCATCGAGGCAGACGAGTTCATTACCATGATGTCTATGTGGGGCTTTGAACAACAGGGACACACCCCGATTGTAAGTCTGACCATCTTCGTTTCGGTGAGCCGGAAACTCGACAAACTTCTGATCCCATGCATGCACAACATCACGTCCCTAAGGCCAGCGCTCTGGAGCGGAATAGAATTTCTTTTGCATCGCTTCCCATATAGGTTGAAGATGGAAATCTCAGAAACTCTTAAACTCCCTAGACATCCTCCGTTCAGTTCCGTACCAAACGCCCACGCCCGCGCCCTGGCGCAACCTCGCCGAGCGAAAGAACACTCAAGCTCTGATCCCCGGCTTCAAGATAGATTCCTTTGGTTCTTTGAAGGGTTCCTTTAAGAGTTCTGCAAGGCAAGGGTTTTTAGTATATGTGTGGCTTGATAGCTCAACAAGCCAAGCAGCCACTGTCGCAGTGTACAGCGTTCTGGTGACTACAGATAGCCGAGGCTGGGCATCGAAGGACTTCAGCAAGCGCAACATCACAACCTCAGAGCGTGGATGAGCTTCAACACTTTGAACACCAAGAAGCCTCAATCAACGACATGTAGTAACTCTGGTCCAAGACCTGTTTCGTGGAAGGACTGAAAGCTTCGCATTTAACGCTGCAAGATCCTCAACGCATTCCGAGGAACGATGGGGTAGAAGCTGAGAGTGAACCGGAAGTCAGCTTCAGCTAGCACCTGCGCTTGGTAGCACCGCACCCGTGAAGCTGACAAAACATGACAAACTGCCGAAGAGGCAGTTCCTGTTCAAGGTTCCCTTCAGGCTGATGTAACTTGTGACTTCAGGCTGGGTGTGACAGCGAGCACCAAGAAGGGTGAGTTGAACAGTCCCAGCTGCATCATCATGCTAAGGAAAAAGCTGATTTCAGTAAGGACAGTTTAACAGCATCACGACGAACGACTACGACTACCTCTAATTATGCCAACTCTCGGCAATAGCCCTAGCAACCTAGTACGAGCACTGGGACAACGATGGCTTCTACTTCGATAGCGAGCAAAGACTACAGTACTACTTTCGACGAGGCGGCAGGAATAACACCGCCAATAAGACATGGCGTGCGGTGAGGTAGACAATATAGGAGAAACAGCAAAAAGGACGGATGGCTCTGGGTAAACCTTATATAAATGATTCACTGCTGAAATCTACTGGATAGTCTTGATCATCAACTAAAAATCGTAACTAGCCCAAACAGAGTAACCTCCAAGTTTGCACATGAAGGAAAATCTAAATAATGCGTAAGTGTGTTTTTGTTTTTTTCTCTCTCTCTCTCTCTATCTGTATTTGTCTAGCCAGCTAGCTATCCAGCTATCTAGCTATCTATCTAGCTATCTATCTCGCTATCTATCTATCTATCCATCTACCCCTCTACATATATATATATGCACACACCTCTGCATATCTCTATATATATATATGTGTGTGTGCGTATATGTATATGTATATGTATGTATGTACTATGGAGAAGAAAAGACTCGTTGACGTTGTCTGTGGTCCTGATCATACCAAGTCTCCAACAAAGCAACGCATCTGAAAGACGCCCTCATGCCCGAAGTCAGCCAGGCTTATGGTCTGTGGCATCGCAATGACGACACTGGGTACTCAAGCTCTTGCAGTTTTCAGAGGAGGTGATTTGACTTGCCCTAAGGCCTAAGGGGTGCCAGGGACAGAAATCTCCAAAGTCTCCGAGCCGTAGGAACGGTTCCCTGTGAATGGTGTGCCACCTACCGGAACCCACCCTGCTGCCAGCGAACGGATGCAAAGTTGAGAGGCTAACCATTGAACTTCCAACCAAACTCAAGCTGAAACTAAACAAAACAAGCCCACCAAACACATTTCAGGCACAATCGAGACAGAAACACAAGCGCCGGGGCTGCCGGAAATTGATGAAGATATGCATCTCTCAACTCCTGCAACTCACCCTTCTAAAGCGAAGTTTTGCAGCCGGAGTCCTACAGTAACCCTAACCCCAACAGCAGTAAAGATACACAAGGGGTGCTGTCCCAGATAGGCCCAAGGAGCACAGCAACTCCGAACTGGGACCACCTCTTGATGTTGCGTTTACCGAACGTCTCAAGCTTGAAGGCTTAAGTAGCGAACGCCCCAACGCGTCACCGGCCCTTCTGTGGCAAGGACCATCGTCTCGACAGCATCGAAGACTCGAACACTCCATGCCTTGTTCACCAGATCTTGGACTCAACCCCCCCACTAGGAGTGACGTGTAGATTCTAGATGTGCTGCGTTGTCGCGTGGCGAGTTTGGATTCGGGGGAGGAGAGCTCAGAATTGGCAGCTTTGCAAACATCAACTTGTGGACAACGAGTGGCGCATGCCAGGTCATGGGCTGTGTTCTCAGTGTCGCTCTAACCCGTACGGAGCGAAAGCACGGAACTTCAAACAGCTTGATCTCAGCAGACCGGGATCTGAGCTGACTGAATCTGCCCCTGGCTGCTTGTCCAGCCAAGCAGCCTCGCTTTCGGCATAGGTCAGATTCTCCTGAGCCTCAGATAATCAAGATGCTGTGCACATTCGCAGAAACGGTTTGTGGGGCTGAGTGGAACCGCAACGTGGCCGCGAAGGTAGAGGTTACAACAATAGTCACTTCTCCTTTTTCCATGAAATTTGCGTCTTGAGTCTCTCGCTTTTGAAGGCCTTCTTTTGCTTGTGCGGGAAGCTATCAAACAAGGCTAATCGTCACGCTTGTCAAGATTTAGTTTTACAAGATGGCCACGGCAGCGTGCGATACGGCGGCATGTCACGACGATGCTCCTGAGAATGCTGCTGGTGATGACTGTGACAACGGTAGGTAATGATGGTGCTGATGGGGCAAGGTGCAACAGGACATCATGACGATGATGCTGTGACCGACGGCGGCACTACCAAAGCTGCCTGGGCGGATCCCACGCTGGCCATGACGGTCTGGAGGTGTTGCTGGCAATGGTGATTATTCAGGCGATGATGATAAAGACGGGCGTAATTATGTGGATAGGGAATCAACGACAAACAAAAATGCAGCTGATGCAGCATGATGGAAATGGCGGTGTTATGCGTTATTATCATAATCATGATTGTGAGGCGGTGGTCACGAAGGAGATGATGAGGGTGACGACGCTGACTCTGCAGCCTCCCTCCCTCCCCCCCTCCCACCCTCATCACCACAAAGAGCCCTAAACCTAAGCTTTGCAGCCCGACCGTCTGATAATCAAGCCAATGCGCATACCCAACTTCCTACAACCACGAACCTCCAGCTGTCCCAGCGGCTAGCTCGATGTATTGTCCCATCGTGCCGGTGGTAGAGCCCGTCTCCTATGGAGAATGCCCGTGGCAGAACCCAAAAACAGTTGGCTGCTCCAAGCTTGAACTTGCAGTCGGAGGGAGACGTGGGGCTCGAAACTTGTGGACTTTGAGGGTTTGGGGTTTTGGGCAGGCTTTTGAGTTGGGTATGTCCGGAGCTAAAGATTGTCATGCCTCTCAATTCCTAAAGGTCTCCTGCTTCAAAGTCAGCGCCGAGCTTGTACCATGTACCACTCTTGCGGTTCCCACCATGATTCTCAGTGAGTTTCATTGTTCTACTTCTGTGCGGGCTACTCTAAAGACTGAGAGCAAGAGCTTGCTATTTCCACCCCGGGTCCACGATGAGGCGGAGATAGGTGCCAATGACTGCATAGGCACCTCGGTGCGACGTCCAATTTCGTTTCGTAAATCTCGAACTGACGGAACACCTCCGTTCAACGGCTGCTTTTGTGCCGGTCCTGGCAGCGAGTGTGCGCGTGCTTGTGTGCGTCTATGATTTGGTTATGTATGTAGGACTTTTCAGGAGGTGCCTGCTGCCTTGTGGATTTCTTCCGCTCCTCGGCTGGTGAAGTTCGTTGCATGATCTCCGGCACGGAAACTGAAGCATCTGCAGTGCTGGTTTGATGGCCTCCCGGCCTCAATGATCCCGCTCGCTTTGGAGTCCCGGCAGTGCGTTCATGGAGTTGCTCACACGATGCAGGACACGGCCCCTCCTCGACGGGGCCTGCGTCTGGCCTACGAACATAGCATGCTTGGTCTTCGAGTCGAAGTTTCTCAATCTGATTGCTACCAAGTTTGCCGACGACAGTCTACATCAACAACCCAGAATGAGCTCGCCTGAAACATCGCAAGTCTCGACACTAACTACGACGAACTACGAGCTCTTGCTCAGAAGATCGTGTAAAGAGATCTCGCATTTCGGGTCTTCGGTTTGCCGTGGTTGGGATTCAAGGCACATACTGCAGATGATGTCGTGATGTGATCTACTTGGTTCGGGCTTTTCGGCGGGGGGCGGTGGGGTGGTGGTGGTGGTGGTGGGGGTAGGCCATGGCACAAATGATGGAGATCCAATCGACCATGTTCCAGAAGTTCAGGTAGTCTCCGAAGATGGCTTGATAGATGCCGTACTTTGCAGATCTGACGGCACCCAGAAGCTCGCCTAAGCAACGCATCCACAGAGGTTGATGCTGAAACCCGGCTGAAACCTGAACCTTCAAGATTCCAAACTAAAAGCACAGGCACTCTTCCTAGTATTAAGCTGTGTTCCTGCAAGTGCGCAGGCTACAAAGCAAGACAACCTGGCTGAGTAGCATGGCTGATGAAGATGTTGCTAATAGCAAGGGTGCTTCCCCGCCCGAAACGAAGCAACATTCCCAGAGCTCCGCGCTACTGAGCTACTGGATACTCAAGCTCTGGCGCTGAATTGAAAGACCCGTGTAGACCAACGGAAGCTCTGCAGCCGAAGTGAGCCCAAAGAGCACTGCCGCGCTCAGGCCTATGTCAAAGAGACTCCACATGCGTCTGACACCACTCATCTATAGTGAAGTAAGAACGTAGAATCCAAACCCATCTCGCAGGTGCAGCCACGGACTTCACTGATGAAGATGAAGAGCAGCGAGCCAACCCAGACAACCTCATGGCGGACTTTATCCCACAACCCCGGGAGGATCCAAACATTTGCATGCCTCAAGGGGGGTGCCTCTTGGACAGAACCATCTGCAGGATTTGCGACACTGGTCACAACCTGCAATCGCTTTGGTCGAGATGCATCCGCTGCCACAACGACCTCGGCTGCATGCGTGGTGCGTTTGGATTTTTCGGCCAAGAAACACAGCACTTGGACACTGAAGTCGACTTGCCTTGGAAAATCTTGGAACCTGTACCCTACAAGTTAATCGCCAGGGGCCTGAAGATGTTGCGACACAGCTTCGGCGATGCCCTACTGGCTACATCTGCCTGCTGCTTGCTGCTGAACCGCAAAAACTTCTTCCACAAAAGCACATCTTGCTAGAGAAGATGTTCAGAAATGAGGGACCTGAATACGGAACCCCGAATAATGGGATCCTTGCTTTCAGGACTCCTACATAGGTCAAGCTAAGCCTAGTTCGGAAAGAAAAGAAAACCCTGTCCAAAGCTCTGGGGGACTCAGCCAAGCATCCACCTGCTCGAGAAAATTCCCCAAGAGCCAGCTGGCCCAAGCCTCGTTTGAGTGGTGGAGGTATAGCATAGTATTAGGGTTTAGGGTTTGGGGGTTTAGGATTGGTAGGTTTGGGCATCTTTTGCAGTAGAACTACGTTCTGTTGCAAGCTGGACATGCCTTTGCAAGTCACAAACAGCAAATCTCTGCAGAAGGTTGCAAAACAGGCAGCAAAGGGTTTTCGCTGGATTCACTCCTTAGGGTTTTGTCTTCGGGAAAGTTTCGTCTTCGGCAAAAGGGTTTTCGTCTTGGGTCAAAGGTTCCTTCTGGATTCACTCCTTAGGGTGTTCGTCTTCGGTAAAATTCGGTAAAAGTTTCCTGCGGGATTCACTCCTTAGGGTTTCCGTCTTTAAGGGGTAGGTGGGGCAGGTACAGTAGGTGGGGTAGGTGGGTAGGCGGGGTAGGTAGAAAAAAGTTACGTCTAAGAGAAAACAAAGGTTACACCTAAGAGGAAAAAAGGTGTCACAACTTCGCCCGCTTCCATTCATGGGGCTCGGCTGGAAGAAACTCTGAGATGCAGGGTGTTCACCTGCTGCCCTCCACACCCCGAAAAATCCCACGAGGGTCATGTGGGAGCTTTATATCGCAACACTTTTCCGCTACAATTCCATCACGCTGAGGCCTCCCTACCGGAGCAATGTATCTCAAAGATCGTGAACGTAACTCCACAACCTAGGCCTAGGCCAAATCAATACCCAGGCCCGACCCTCCACATCTGAGGCGCTGCGACTTCCGGAGCTTAGACAGGTTTAATTGTAGTCACTCGAATAGGCTTTGGGTGTAGGAAGGCAATGTTTGGACGATGCAGGCACTTCTGCGGGCCCCCATATCAAGCAAGTCCAGCCTCACTATCTGTTCACGCCTTTGCTCGAACGCATCGCAGACTGACCGTTTGTGTCCCGTTATCTTGGTATCTTCGCGCGATTCACATCCCCCCGTGCACCATCGCAAAACAACATAAACATGCTGCAAACCCAAACATACCCAAACCATGGGGCGGATTGCACGTGGATAAGCTTGTAGACATGGCCTGCACCTCTGCCGTCGATGGGGCGGATTGGTATTTTGTCAGGTGCTGTTGAGAGAGTTTTCAGAGCAGCTAGGGTTTGGGGCTGGAGAGTCTTAGCCAAGTTTCGGAAGGATGTGGGGGTGTGTGGCGGTGGCTTGAGGCTTCAATAATTTGATGGCTAAACCTGCTTGGCCCTACTTGGTCAACGCGAAGCCCGAAGGCCGACGGCAAAGCTCCACGGCAGCCCTTTCCTCATGCCCGATCTGTACTGCAAGTGGGGGAATTTTAAGATACCGTCCCTTGCTTTCGAAACAACTGCTTTCGGACTTCACCATGATGGGACTTGAAGCTTCACCTACATTATAGTTAAGTGAGTCCTTGGAGTTTCTGCCAAGGGCTTTCCAGACTTTGGGGGGGCATTGGCGTTGGGTAGCTTTGAAAAGGGGATGCATGCTCTGATCTCAGCCGCTCTTCGTCGAGCAATCAGCGACTGGGTTACAGGGTTCTGTTGCAGGCGATCACGGTCACACAGGCAGAATCGCGGAATTGATCATGCAAACAGGATCACAGTTTCTTGGCTCACGGCCCTGGTAGAACCTGTGTAGTTTCTGTGTGCCCATTTGCTTCAGCGGTCAGTATGGCTGCTGGTGCCAGTAGGCTCGGGACTCCGGCCCGTGAAGCCTGAATTTTACCCCTATTGGTGGGGCCCTCTCGAGCTACAAGTAACGGTGCATATCCTTGGGTCTTTAATCCTGCGCACTGCACCAAATCTGACCGTCCTTCTCAGAAGAACTGAAAAGAAAACAGCCAGGCGTCGATTGAAGAAAAAGTTCACGGACACCAGAGAAATGAGCCCGTGGTTCTGGTTGTAAGCAACCATCCCTAATTCGACGCGCTGCGTGTACCTGGGCGCTTAACGGGTAGAGGCTGCACAACACTTCGAGATAACATTGGGCAACAAGATATGATGCTTCCGCCACCCTGCTCCAGCATGGAACCGTCTTAACACCAGAGCCAGCAGCAGCTCGAGTGAACATCTTTCTGAACCTTTGCTGAAATAGGAGCTTCGCCGATGCGGCCTTTCGATGTTTAGTGGACCTGTCTTATGTGGAGGTGCTCGTTCCAAAGCAGCCTTCCAGGGTAACTTGGCCCTCGAAAGCTCGGAGAAGCCCGCTGCAACCTCGACAACCCGAAGCCCGAAATCCCTTTTCTCGGTGGGGCTGCAGTGCACATGCCTTCATGCCCGCAATCCCTAAACGGTGAATCGTGATCCCTCATCGAAATTCCTGTAGAAACCTAGACCCTAAATAGGAACTCGTAGCGAGGAATCTCATAGCGCGAAGCTCAGGGGCTCGTCGAGCCAGGGCCCTGGTCGAGTCTGGCCATCCAGTGTTCGGGCACCCTGGCTCTGCTTGAGGATTTAGGTTTATGAGGGTTTAGGGTTTAGGTCTTTTGGCTGTGGGGTTTCATGTTTTGGCTTGAGGATTTAGGGCTTGGCTTTAGGCCTGATTACAAAACACTTGACTAACAGTGTTGCTAATCCGAAAGGTTATTACAAGAGCTAGTATACGGGCAAGTGTCAGGGTTATTAAACGTGTAACTATCAGGTACTCTAAGTGGGTTATAACTGGGCTACTGCACGGTTTAACAGAAAGCTTCTCTCTCGCTGCCGCGTCTAGTCACCATAAATAATGTATACTGTTTCTCAAATCCCTCATAGAGGAATTAGAAAGTTTACGATGAGGGGTACCATAATACGTTACGAGACGGGTTCTGAAGGATCACATAAGCGCTTCCAGAAGGGTTATCAGAAGGGCTGCAAAGTCCAAGGGTTAACAAAAAGGGATACTTTTGAGTGAGACGTAGGCTTGCTATTCGGGTCCAAAAATTGTTGCTCTAAGAAAGAAAGTATAAGAGTGATTGTACGCAAGGGCTACTACAAGAGCTTCTGGGGCCGAGGGTTTTGGGGTTCGGGGTGAATGCTCAGCCTGAAGACTTAGGTCAGGCTTTGTGGTACTGGGGTTCACCCTATAAGCCCAAATACGGCGGCATTAATCATTAGAGCAAGCTCTTGAGTATATAACATACTATAGTGATAGAAGGACTTTAAGAAAGAAGTAGTGTTCCTGTTCGAACCATTTGTTGATAATTAGATTAGCATCGTCCTGTCCCGTATGACCGTTTACGGCTTCCCACCCTTCGACGCTCTTTCCAGTTGCAAGGGTTCTGATTCTCGAAGCTGTGCGGCCCGGCTTGGTTTTCATCATACTCGAGGTTGACTGGCATCTGGGTTCAAGGAACTTCAACCCTTTTCCAGCAGGCGAGGAAAATCGAGCCCAGAAAGACTCAAGTCCTGCACAACTCCGCGGCGTAAGACTCTGGTGTTTCCGGCCTCTGCGCAGCTCTTGCATGCGCAACCGCTGTACTCTGCAGTGGTATTCCTTGTGTGGACAGGCGTGGCAGGAAAGCGCTGCTGGAGCAGAGCAGACGATATGCCCAAATCGTCTAGCTACTTCGATTTTATCCAAAAGACGATGCCGTCTACACTCTTCACTGGAAGTCGCAGACGCTCGCACACTGCCAGTCCCGATGTCTCCCGTGCTCCGCTGAGCACCGCCAAAGACCCCAAACGGCGGCAAAGACATTTCCGGGCAGTTGTCCGGAGAGCGCTCCACTTGGCATCCAGCTGCGAGCAGCCGTCCTCCATGTCCAAGCTGGACAGCTGCAGCTCCTGAAAGACATGCCGGCACATGCCTACTTAAAGGTAGCACCAAGAACCAAGAAGAGCGTCGGATAGAATCAAGCAGAGTTGGTCCTGCTTTTGCAGACTCAGCGGAATGAAGCCCTCGGAATCAGAGATGTAGGAATACCTAAAGTTCTACTTCCTTCGCTACCCGACCACCAAGCGCGTTGGGCTCATTTAGTCGCCGGGAGCTCCGCTCTCCGGCCATTGCTGTGGCGCGTGAATGAGGAAGAAGGGGCACTGCCAAGACAGAACCCCCCATCGTCACCACTACAACCACCACTGACGAATGAGAATGAAAAGGCAACTGAAGCAGCATCACCATCCAAGCCACCTGCAGCAGGAACCGCAACGACGACGATGCCGAGGGTGGTGACGGCGAAGATGGTGTTGACGACTGAGATACTACTGCTGCTGTTACTACGACGACGACGACGACTACTGCTACTACCACCACCACCACCACCACCGCCGTCAGCACCAGCACCAGCACCAGCACCAGCACCAGTATCATTGCTACCACTACTACCGCCACTATCAACACGACTGCTACTGCAGCAACAAAAACAACAGCAGCAACAGCAACAGCAACAGCAACAGCAACAGCAACAGCAACAGCAACAGCAACAGCACCAGCACCAGCACCAGCAGCAGCAACAGCAGCAACAGCAACAGCAGCAACAGCAGCAACAGCAGCAACAGCAACAACAGCAACAACAGCAACAACAGCAACAACAGCAGCAACAACAACAGCGACAACGCTGTCACCGACACAATAACGCGCGGTCACAAGCATCGGCAGCGACAGCAACCATGTACTACTAGAACCACTAGCCTAGTTGTACACTGACATGTTCATGTCACAAGAGAATGGGACATGAGAGCGTTTGCAGAGACGGCAGCTGTTGTTGTCCACGAGCTCCTTCAGTGTCTTCTGCTGCGATAGAAGCCACCTGAGCCAGCCACTGCATAGCTTGCTTTCATGGCGGCTCCGTTTTCATGCCGCAAAGGTCATGATTCTTTTCGCATTATGCGAACATGCATATAGCCTAGATCGCCTACAGATTCAGGACTTCGCCGGTGCGCGTACGTCTAGGCGGGGCAAGCCCTTGTTAAATGGAGCTGCGTGAGCTGCAGTCTGCAGTTCAGCTGCAAGGTTTTTATGAAGATAGGAGTAGAGGTTTTGGGGATACACCCCCCGAGCAGCCCGCGAGTGTCGTGTGAGGATGGGTGGAAAGGGTACTTCGATGATGGTTGCCATACTTCGCCTTGTATCCTCTACTACAGTCTATTCCATAACATCATGGCAGTGAGAGGGAGCTTGCAAAGATGAGAGCTTGGATTGGATCTTGCAAGCTACAAGTATTGTGGGATTGCAGAACTCCGAGCTGCTTCCGAGAAGCTCTGTCCGCTGCGGCTCGCGGAAGGTCTCGGCATGGTGAGCTTCAGGCGTCAGTTCCTGGTCAAACCAGGCAGATTGAAACGGCTACAGCGGCCTGTTCAGCAACAAAAACGGGCACGATTACGGAGACGGATATGAGAACAACCACTACCGTACTGTGGCTCGTCCTTAGGAATAGCGGCGACGACATGAACAGACACTCATCCAAAATCGCTGAAGTTCTGCGAGCATGGACAGGGGCTTGTGTGCTTTACACGTCGGATGCAATGGAAGCCGCACAGGTGGGCCGACGCTTCGGAGGTGTCACCATCATCATCTTGATCATCACCGACATTCGCGTAACCATTAAAGTCCGGGCGGTCGCGGTCACCATCACTCCCATCATCTCCATCAACATCAAGACCGATACCATGATCTTCGTCACCAAGAAGCAGGAGGTGGCTTCCTAAACCCGAAACTCAGACGAGGTGTTGAGGGCGAAGCATGGTTTGGGATCACAAAGACTACCCCCGCCTGCCACATCTCTATACCGACAGAGGCGCAAGAACTCTGAAGACGCTCACTTCGAGCGAAGGGCTCATATGCCCCTAAACTCCTGAGAGGTTTTGGGTCTCGAAACCCCTAGGCCCTAGTATGCCAAAGCTACGACACCAGGTACACATTTCGCTTGCATCGAAGGGCTGGTGCTCGCACCTAAGATCCCAATCCCTCATGACCTGCAGCAGAACGAACCCCACACCCTGCTTAAGAACCAACGCTTCCATCCCGAAGCGTCCACGCCCGTCTACCCAAGGAAAAGCTCTAGTATCCCATACATTGAAACCGAGGTGCGTAGGGAGGATCAGCCGGCATGCAGGGCCTTGGAGCTTCAAGCTTGCATCAACGTCAGAAGGCGACGGACACGTCCTGACTAGTTGGTCGTGCTCGTAATCCGTACTCCTGTTGCTGTGCATAGGCCCATTGCTTGCAACAGTTGTCGGCGTCCATTCGTGATTGAAGCTGGGGTTTCCAAAGTGCTTGCCGCACGTCACTGAACCTCGTGGGCTGTATCCTTCTTTCCCAAGCAGTCTGACTTTGCTATCTAAGTTTTCTGTATACTGCAAGCCGGCCAATACAAACCCCGTGGCAAATCTCTGATTGTCAGAAAACGACACATCAAGGAATGAGCTCCACTGGCTACTAAACGGGTTACACCCGAAACCCTAAACACTAGAATAGGGTTTGGGCTTACGTTCGAAAAGGACGGCGTTCTTTGCGCAGCGTGAGCCAAAAATAAACAACCGAACAGGAAAGTGTTGGAGACTTGAAGTAGAACGGTTCTTTCCAGCTTTGCAGCAGGAAAATCAAAGTTCTGTCTGCCACACACGGGACATCAGCCTCACCTGCTCACCACTTACCATCATTTCCAGTTCTAAGCCAGCAACGCCTACTCCGGCTTGTATCATGCTTACATGCTGTAGCGTCATCATCTGCCTCCTACAACTATCTGTGATCATAACCTTCCCTCCTTGCCTCATTATCATCATGAGTGTCCGTATCCTTGGCATAGACAACATATTGACATTCCTCGGGCCAATGGCCCTCAAAGCCTCTGCAGGCCAAGTCACTTACCCAGCCAGGCGCGCATCAAGTCCGGGCTCACCGTGTCTGGAACTTTGCAGCCTTGTGGAGAGTTTATGCTCGCAAGTTGACTGTCCGGCTTTTCAAAGGTTCCCCTCCGCCTAGCTGACTAAGTCATACTGCAGGCGACACACGAGACCATACCACAGCGTGAAACATATTTTTGTTGGTCCCTGGGGTTTCTTCCAAAACGCATTTCGAGATTGGGACTTCGAAGCAGCTCTGGAGCCCTAGGCCCTAGCCAGCGCGTGGCCAAGGCTCGTGACTGGAGGCCGCCACATGACTGCACTAGACTCTTATGCTCATGAACGGCACCAGTTACAAGCATAGAGACATGCAGTTCGATGTTGACGGTAGATCTCTCAAAGGCGGAGGGAGATCCGACCTTCCACCTGCCCAAGCGCATTGTTTCAAGACTCCGTGGGGTGCAAATTGATTTCGAACACATGGAAGCCCCGGCTTCGAATCGAAGATTTCCCAAGCTCGACGGCCTGCTCTTGAGGTACAGATACCAACGCACAGCGCCTATGCATTAGTTTCAACTCAGAGGTTTCGACTCCAAGAGCTCCATGCAAAATCTGAATCTGAACCCAAAGAATCACCGGAAGGTCACACCATAAGCCAACAAATACATGCGGAGGAACTGTCCCAACTCGCCGCCGATCGCTCCTGTCGCAGCCGAATGCCAGCAACTATCCTCAGCTTTTGGGCTCAGCAGTGATAAGCGCGGTGTGGGGAGACAAAAAGGATGTGCCATTGTGGGGTCAATTTGACTTGAAGGAGTACTTCATGACCACATCTGTGAAATCTCCGGGCTGCCTTCTGCAATGGAAGACTCTAGAGACATTTCCTCGACAGGATGTAAGCGGTGATTGACATGCTGTCTATTTCTGGTGTGCAGCAGACAGCTGCAACATGAGATCCTGTGTTGAACCACCTAGGCCAAATCTGGCCCTGGGCTAGGCATCGGGACAGTCGTAGCCACTTCGCAGCCACTCGGGGTTGCATTTTCTCGGACACTGGTAGTTGAATCCTAGCCAAGCCGCCTGTTGAATGTGGAGAACTGGTCAGGTACAGGCAGTGTGGCCTGAACAACACTCGGCGGGCACAAGCATTGAGTACCCTTCTTGAGGTGCCGGGCTCAAAAAGCCAGTTTTACTATTACCCTATGCTTCCAGGGACCTTATACTTAGGGCCCGGGTCTTAGACCCCTTAAAGACCCAATAGTAAGGTCCCTGGGTTGTGGTTTCTGCGACGGCAAGGTCCATGTTGCAAGCTTGCCTCAGGAATCGACGATGGAAGAACAACGTGCTATCGACGCTGCACGCGAAACGCTGCTTGGACTATGGAGGTCTGCTCCTTTGCAGCTTGCTTCGTTGAGACCTACTGCCAACGTATCGGAAATCCAAGCTGGATACTGGGCTTGAGTTCTTAGCTGTCACCGAAACCAGCTAATTGTAGATTCGCCCTTAGAAACACATCACCATATAGTGCATCCTAAACTTTACGCGGACCATGTACACGCAAAGAAACAGCTTTTGAAGATTCAAGCTTGATTGGCGTGCCAGATACAATACAAATCGAACAACTTGTGTCGTGTCCAGTCCGGTCCTGCCTGTGCCCATGCCTCGTCTGGCTCTGGGCCAAATGGCAAATTGTAAGTCCTCAATAGTCTGGTTTGATGTCATCATGGGTGTAAACGACAAGGAATCTGAGTTCACTCATGCTCAGCAGCCGCCCATCTAAAGTTTCCCCCCCAATGCAGATATCGAAAACAGCCTACATATGCAGAACGCGTTGGCGCTGCAAGGGAAGGCAGAACGGGCACCCCTGATTCCCTGCCTCTGCATCGTAGCTTGCCCCGAAGAGTAGTTTACAAACGCCATAGACCCAAACCTGAGCCTGAAACCCCCTGACCTTAGGTGACCTCTGGCCCCGCCCCAAACTCGTGTGGGGTCTTGCCTGGGGTCTCGCTTCTTTCTCGCTATTGGGTTCAGAGCTCGGAATCACAACTTCTAAATCCTAAACCCGAGGCCCTAGACATTCCAGTGTTCTCAAAGAAGGGCCACGTTCGCCTATGGGTTTAGGGTTTGTGGTTTCTGTACTTGACATGAAGGAAGTCTCCACCCATCACCATCGCGACACTTGTCACAGGCACCTTGAATCCTCGAGGTGCGATAACGTCAAGAACGGTCCCATGCTGGAGACAGGGAGGCGTGTAGAAAGGGCATGCTTTTGTGGATTACTCTCTCAGCGCTTTGAACGAGGTCCCACTGACTGCTTGATCTGCATCGACACGGCAAAGAATTGTGGTCGGAGTGTTTGCACAGAGGGGCTTAACAACTATAGACTAGTGAGGATGCGTACTATCTTAATTTCTTCACACCTCTGTATTGAGCGAGCTCCCTCTCAATTCTTGCCAAGAAGCGCTGGCAGCTGCGACGCACTGAAGGCAGTCATGTTCTCTGCATGAAGCTGCTCATACCTTGCTTTCTTGGCTGACTTCTGAAACCCTGTAGCAGCCCCCATATACAAATCGGAGAGAAATCCACTCAGTTAAAGTCCTACGAGCCATCCAGAAAACAGGCAAGCTTTTCTGTGAACATCTGGGAGCTCCCGAAAACAGGAGACCCCAGTATAGCACCCGAAGGGTTAGGACCCTTCAAAGCCCCTAAAGAAGGTGCCCCTGTTTTCTGAAGTCACCATGTTGTGGTCAGGGACACAGCTTGGGAGAAGGGCTGTCAGATCTGCGCAAATTCAAAGCTAACCTTAGGGTTTACACTCTCACAACTCGGAAAATCCAGGGTTTGGGGTTTCAAGGTTTAGGGTTTAGGATTGCAAACCCGTTTTACCCAGGTTCGCTTCGTGCTCGACCTGCCATTTCCTGCCATTTGTTCGCATCGCACTCGTGGCGAGATGCTCAAGGCTAAGACCCTAACCCCTCAACCATAAACCCATACCGCCGTCCAGATTGCAAGCCGGAAACCGCCGAAAGACCCCAAGAAACGTTGAATCGGCTGGGTGCGTTTCATTGAGCCCCTCCGAGAAGGCCCACGTATGCTGCACTGCCAATGGCAGAAAGCCAATGCGAAACCAGGACCAAAAGTCAGCATAGGAGTTCACGTCATAGACCTCAGAACGGGGATGTCTTCGTCGGTTCTGGCAGGATTGCCAGATTGAGGGCTGCAGGCCGGCTCCCCAATTCATGACGGGAGCGATTGCAGGTACAACAAACACTTCCAAATGCTTTCATGACAGCAGAACCATGAAATGCTATGCAAAACCCACATGTTTGGGCTCAAACGCGCGGCCTCTGTGGCCATAGCCTTGAAGCCAAAGGCACGGACTTGTGCCCGAAGTTCTGGGCCCAAGCAAAGTTTGCATTCTGAACCAGCTCCTCACGGGCTGGCATGACATGTGACACAGGGGCCGGAACAACCAGAATCGTGGCTAGGGTATGGTACAGTGTACTTGGACAAGATCAAGGCATATGAGCACGAAGTACTCCGACTCCTATATTACCGTGTCTAACCTCCAGTCCTGAAGCCTCAAGATGTAGAGCCCCATGCGAACTAGCGGATGTAGAGCGGCTCAGGGCTCAACAGCTCACCAGCATACCGGTCTTCGAAATCTTCCGAATAAGGATCATGGAAGGTGTGGACAAGGTGGGACAGACAGACAGACAGACAGACAGACAGACAGACAGACAGACAGACAGACAGACAGACAGACACACACACACACACACCCATATATATATGTATATGGTTTACTATTATTGTTATATTATAATATATATATATATATATTCATTCATTCAATATTATTAGGTTTAGGGGTTTGGACTCTCGCGTTTAGGGTTTAGGGTCCTGAAACGGGGGTCCAACTATTTTCGGAAACTCCCGTCTGTCTCTGTTTTGTTTTACGAGTCTCCTGCTTCCATGCCCCCTCCACCGCAAAAGTATCGTGCTGCTTCAGGTGCAGCAGAGCAAAGACCTGAGAACGCCCCTTGGCCAAAACTGATGCAGTTCTATCCGCATACTGCGAAAACCTGTCCACTACTGTGCATCCACGCATCTGTTCATGAGTCTTGCTAAGATACAAGTATGTACGAGAGACTTTAGTGGATACCTTGGGAGGGCCTGTTTCCGACAATGCGTTGTATACATGCCTGTAGCAGAGCTGCACTGTGTCCTAGTCGGCCCCTCCTCAGCCAAGCAAGTGCAGGGCACTCACTCTAGCCTCCAATAAGCACTGCAAACCGGACGAGCGAGGAGTCGGAGAACAAACCCAGCTCCACGAAATGAAGCTTTGCCAACCGAAGGAGGGCCATGCATCCCGAATCCTAAATTAGAAATGTGCTGCAAACGCAAAAACAGGTAATTTAAGCGCCGCGATATTTAGAACAGGTTTGTGAAGTCTGTATAAAGGAATGCAAATTCAGGCACTAGTCGGACCCCTAAATCAATAGGAGCCTGACTAAGCTTGATTACCTTGCCTCCTTGAGAGATACAGTAAGATAGGAGTCTCAATCGGCAGAGTTGGGCCCGGGTATGTAGCAACATAATCTTTAGTCGATACAACGGAACCCTACGGAATAGCAATGCTAAGCCTTCAGAATTAGATGACTATTCTTCCCTGCGAGCTCCAGTAGGGCCTGCGGGACACGTTGCTCCTCGAGATTAAATTCTGGATCGCCGACAGATATTGCAACCCACTAGGAGTAGAAGGGTTCTGCTAGTTCCTAGAAAGCAACGAAACAGAGAGCTGCTGTGCGTGCCTTCATAATGTACTGTGCTTGAACCCATGATGTAGGAAAGCTCCGCTATCTCTCTGTTCGTGCGCACAGCCGAGCTCGTCAATCTCCCGATGGTGTCACTTCATCAAAATGTGCCAACCACTGTCCTAGTAGGACACAACATCCCAGTGTTGGTTCATGCAGGTAATGTAAATCAAGGTTTATGTGTTTTGGAATGCCCCCGATGCTTTTGGCACTCTTGCAGCCCTCAGCGAGGAATAGACATCCGAGGGTTCTACACGATAATATCAGATGGCACCGTTATCAGTAAGGAATAACAGGGAGCTCCTTCATACCGCAGCAACGCAGATCCTTCAAGCAACAAGGATAGCAGCTCGTGTAGCTGGTTACACAAAACAAGGAAGCTCCCAGCAAGAGGTGGCATAACCTGTTAATCTTTTCTTGCGACTTCGAACGCTTAGCAATGGCCCTGGCAGCACATGCTAGTTCTCATTGTCGTCTACATACGCTGTGTAGGAAGCAATCTTGATATACCGGCTGGAGAATACCGGTAGAAGAAAGCCGGCGTGCAAATCCTGCAGCTGCTGTGCCTGCTGCCTCTGCGCACTGCTCATGTTTCGTCGCAAAAGCATCGGCTTTCAAAGCGACGAGCACGACATTACTTTTGCTTCACCGCATGCTTTGTACCAGTTAAGGTATCGTGGGCAGACATTCGTGATTCAAGACAAGACAAATGTTGGGTTCATGGGGATAACATGATGTATCTCCATATGTATGTATACAAGTTAACTACATAAGCATACAATACTTGGGTATGTATATATCTTCTACACACGGTACACATGCAAACATACGTTGTCTTCTTTGCATAGGTTTATTTGCGGCGACAAAGGTGTGGGATGCCCAAGGCACACTCTATACGCGGCCCAGACGTCGAGAGCGGAACCCAAAGCTCCCAAAATACGAAGGTCGAACTTCATGTCATGCTCTCAACCCTCATCCAGGATAACCTGCAGACCAAGCTGCCGAGAAGGAGATCAGCAACAGCAGTGTGAAGGGTAGTTCTAAACCTCAGATGATGCCGATTGGGATTGTAACGGTGTGTCCGTTGTGGTGGTGCTTCTGTCACAGACGAATTGCTTTGTGTGATTGGGAATGTGCCGCATCAGATTTGGTTCAAGACTGCCTGCTGCATGCATGCAAACTGCCCTTGAAATGGCAGTTTCTCTCTTACTGTGGGTGTCTAAGAGGGCTGCGGCCGAAGCTGAGGTGACCACATGCACTCTCCTCGTCGAGCTCGCGCTTTACCCAGGCCAAATAGATTCCCAGCTCGGTGCCAGTGCCCTCCTGGCCACGAGTCGCAATGGTCTTGACACTTGGGAGCTTTGCGGGTCCGGTCTGGGCTAGGGCTGCTGCACAAGGGTGCAGTATGCACTTGGCAGAAGACGGCTTACATCATTCGTAAATCATCGCAACTATGCGGCATAGTCGGACTAGCAACACTGACATTGGTGACGCTTGAAGAAGTAGTCACGGTCGCAGTCGCAGTCGTGGTGGTTTTGCGGGGCTGATGGCGGTTGTGTCGGTGGGGGTGGTGGGGGTGGCGGTGGACGGCGGTGGACGGCGGTGGTGCGGCTGCTGCTGTTGCCCGCGGGAACGGGCGGATGTTGAGACAATGTTTGGACAGTGCGCCATGCATTCTTTGAAAATGCCGTTTGCATGGATGCCTGGATTGTGAGCTGTGGAAAATGTACTGTAACCGTTGAGACTGTTGTAGATCCTGCGCCCTGAATGATTGCGCAAATCGGGAGAGATCGAAATGCCCGGTGCCTTCGTGGATCCAGTTGTCCCAATAGGCACAGTCACCAACTTCCACTGCAAATGCTCAGGGTTCAGCTTTAAGGTGAAACTAAAACGCCAACACAATACCCGTTTTCTCTGGCAGAACCTGGCTAATGTAGTCGGCTGTCTCCTTGATTCTTGAGGCTCCATTCCTGGACTCTAAACGTCTCTGTGCCCCTAAAACCAACGCGCCCTACAGTAGTCCCTAAAGCGCAGCCCCTAAACCCTCGACTGCAAACCCTAAATCCCAAATCCCTACACCCTTGCAAGTTGCGACCCTTCTCGCTACTCCTTCGAGTTGTGCTGCGACTCGACCTGGGCGTGGTGGCGAAGTCGAGTTTAAATTTACAGTAAGAAACCACCCCATCGTAATGTAGACCCTACATAGTGGGATGATTCAAACCGACACCCAGAAGGAGGAGCTCCAATATGAAGAGACTATTTCATTGGCTTCGCGGTATCACGGATTCGGTCTTGAGATTTGCTGTGTCCGCACTACGGAAGGCGTGCTGGCTCCAACCCACTGCTGGAGGCCCATCGAGCACAGCTTGTTCAGTCTTCAGAAACATTGCAGGTCGCAAGAGTACTAGGCGAAGTATGACAGCTTGACCTCAGTATCACAGTATCCACCGCAGACAATAAGCATCGCAATCACACCTCACCATTAGCGGCCATTGGCGCTCCCAAGTGCTTCGCACAAGGCCTCTGCCTTTCAAAGCTTTGGGTGTAGGGCTCGTAATTCTAGCAGCAGCGACTGAAGCACAGTTGCCCCCACTTGACCTGCACGATTCAAAGCCCCAGTGCACTTTGATGCCGAGGGGCCCGTGCTTTGGGAGACACTGGCTGACCCTTTTGCCCTGGCTGTGAAGCCACAGTGGAAGCGATATTGACCCTCCTCAGTGCTCTTCGGGGGGTCTGACGGCAATCGTTAGGGGCATCAAACATTTAGAATACGGTTTGGGGTATTTTGTGCACCAGTCTACAGCTCTATTAGGGACTCTGGGGGGGGGGTACTATTAATTAATGATAGCTCCGACCCCTCCAAGCCCATGTAGTTCAAATTAGGTCTCTTCACATCCCTGCGGCAACATTTTTTCTACCCGAGTCTTGCGGAAGGCATCACGTTCGCACGGGTCAAGCAGCTGAAGTGCCGTTCGAGTTCGTTACTTTTCAAAAGGCCTCGCGAAAGCAGACTGCGGACCTACAGTGTAACAGGCCAAAGGAAGATATCCTAGGATACCGATGATACTTTGCTGCTACCACGAGAGCCAATAAACCTAGGGAAACTAAAGCTCAATGCGTCCAAGGGCAGGGGCATTGGCGCCGTCTAGGCCGCTGCCATCATGCAAACAAACAGCTGAGGGCGGGGAGTTGCTATATCATGCGGCCAATTTTCGGCCGCTCCCCTGCAGATTGAGTACCTAGACCTAGATGCGCATGCGGGTGCAAACTTATGGATTTGAGAAACGGACAGCATGAGAGACTCTGGAAAAATCCTTCATGGCAAGTTTGCTGTTTAGGCCGTTAGTTATTATTAGTCAGGCAAAAGTTATAAGATACGAGTAATTAGACACTCTAGGCATGCGGGGTGCTGGGGATCAGGGGCAAACATCAGATTCAGGGTGCGTGCAGGGCATCATGGCTGCCTGAATATACACGCCCAGCACTCGCTCATCTTTGGAGGTCGTGCGAGCGCAACGTCTGAGCCGGCACGGCAGAAAGACATACAGCATGGTCAACGGGTTCAATTCCTAGCCTTCGCCCCACACCACTCCAGAGACTACGAGCTTTCGAGCATATCCGCTTCAGAAACGTGAGTTCGAGGAAGATAAATACGGGGTCGCTTGCGGCTTGGGGTGTGGAGTTGGTGGTCTTTGCTTGAGACTCTTTTCGTGGTCGCTGGGTTGTGGCCGCCATGACATTATGATGGACCTCTATGTATCCCTCCCTCAGCACACAAGTCACAAGCTAGTCGCCAAAAGAGCGGTGAGCGCAGAAGCAGCAGTTCCTAAGCCCGAAACTCTTCGCACCTCAAACTCTGAAGAATCAAGCACCACAATCCTGAAAACCCACAAGTAGCTTGGGGTGTTCCACAGAGGCCTTTTTCCCAGATTTTTTGGGGAGGCAACTATGTTAGGGACCACCAAAGGGGAACGATTACCCTTCTTAAGAGTCTCCAGTTCTACTTGTACCAGTTGCACTGCCTGCAGCGACCTTCGATCAGCAGCAATATCCGCACGATTCTGAAAGCACCCCCACAACAAGCTCCGATATCTCAAACCGTGACTCTGAAATCCAAACCCAAAACAGCCCTGGACCACAAAGACCCAAGGCTTCGTGGCCGCACACCCCATGGGCCCAAGTGCCAGCTAGGACGACCGGATCTAGCCTTTTCGAGTCCAGAAAACCTAACTGCCCTAAGCCCACAGGTTGGCTGGTCTCTGCCGCCTTTGAAGGGTTGATCTTCCCGCATAGATCGTCGTGACCCGCCCTACGGAGAGACAACCGAGTACTTCTGCCAACACTGCAAAGGCAAGGGTGGGTGGTTATGGTGTCAGGCAGGGTGCAGCAATCCTGATGCTTAGCACAGGCCCAGAACATCTGCTTCGATGCAGAGCCCCTTGTACTAGGAGCAGTTGTTTGAAGAAATGTTCGCATTTCTCGCTCGGTCAACGACACGGCAAGTTCGGAAGCTATCCCTGCATTGTAGGCAGTTCTGCCATTCGAATGTGCTCTAGACATGACAATACTGCTAGGCCTTGCGAGAGTAGTGATGCAGCAGCCTGCAACAACAAGAACCCGTCTACAGCAAGGGTGAGTTCATAATGCATTTTTTAGCATTGGACACGACTAGTGCCCCAGTATCAATGTAGATTGTGAGGCCGTTGCTCAACAGGCCTCGGCGACTATCGCTCTTTTCACAGGGTTTCATGATCGAACACAATGTCTTGAACACTAGCTGTATGCTGCCAATCGCCATCCCCTATGGCCAAGCTCAGTGAAGCTCTGAGGTGGAAGCCAAGGTCAGATACAGCCCGACATACGCAGCCGTAAACTCTGAATCCTGCACGCAAGCATTCTCATCCTGTAGTTTAACATAACCGGCTCCGAAAAACAGACCTCACTGGCTGAAGTCTGAACACTACATTCCGCAACCTATCCTGACTTCCGGCCCAACATCCCAAAATTCCGAGTCGCTAGCCCAAGCGCGCATCCTCGGCAGCAGGTGTCGAAAGGCTTTCCATGTCTGGTCACCCCAGGCCTTGGCAACGAGGCACATACGGTGGCGTTGTTCCAGCGTGATTCAGCCGATGGGAATAGCAATACTCCAATTACTCCAATTCTTCTACTCATCTCGACTAAGTTCTTGCGCCGCAGCAGGAAAGTATCAGGCGCTTGGATGAGCTGGGTCACCCGAATCTCACGCCAAGCGTCCGAAAAATAAATCGAAACTGCCCAATCTACACAAGGCACAGGAAACTGGGCTGCCTCAACTTTTGAGATTGGAGTACAGATCTTTGGGTTTCTGTGTCTGGTCTGTCGACTGTATTTTCACGGTTTCTGGAGCTCAGGATTTGGATGGTGTTTTGGAGCCCTTCGTTTCTGACGGCTTCTTATGGGCTCCGCAAAGTGGTTGCGAGCTGCTCGGCTAAGTGCGAGACTGTGCGGTTCTTCGTGTCATTTTGCGTAGTTTTGACATGTTTCGACTGTATGAATTCTGGCAACTCCCTGGCTCACAGTGCCGTTGTGCGCGTCCAACGACACCTTGGGCGAATGCCGAGTAAGCTGGGAGTCGAGCGCAACTTGTCGGCCGCAGCCGATCTTGCCTGGGGATGCGAAAGGTCTTCTCGTGGTTCTGCCCGGTGATTCCTACGTTCTCATCCGACAGCCCCAGGGTAACAGTTCCCTTTTCTAGTCTCCATGAAAAAGAGACCATCCGAAAATGCTGTCCTATGGCCGGCACACAGCGGGACTTTCTCGGCATGACCTGAGCGGTCTGGTCTTCGTCAAGTTTCCTATGCTCTGCGCTGGGAGGTGGACATCCGGGTTGCATAATTACCACTAGCACCCCTCGTATAGTCCTGAATAGCACCAAAAGTATAACATGCTCCCACACCCAACCCTAGCTACTTAGGCTTACTTAGGCCTCTACATTACTGGCAAGTTGAGGCCGCAGGATGGGATGGTTAGCCTCTTGCCTCATATGTTTGAGGCGCAGGCTAGCAAGGCTCATGCTTGACAACACCACGGGCCAAGAATTAGAATACGGTTCTGAGGCAGGTTATAGAAAGTTGTGGTAGCTGTAGTGTAGCTGTCCTGATGTACCCTAGAGAATACTCCTTGTATGTAGTTGCTCAGGCTCCAGGGCGCCGGACACAGCGGCCGGGCCGGGGGGCATATTTCCGCACCTGCGGCATTGAGTTCCATGCGAACATGTCCTGCACGGGTCCGACAGGATAGGGGTCTAACTAAGACTGGGCAGGCTCTCAGAAAGGCGTCTACTGTCTCACACCTCAGCGCAGCAAAATCTTCGAACATTGAAACCTAACCTGAAATCACAGGATCTTGCGCCCGAAGCCCCAAACGCCAGCTTCCTAGTGGCAAACTCCGCAGGTAAGGCCGGGACCCCGATTGCCCAACGTCCAGAAACCTTTAAACTTCAACTTCCGATTAATTCTTATACAAAAAGCGCTCAGCCCGCAAAATCAAGGGAGGGCCTACTCCAGGATGCTTCCCTTTGGCTTTGCCTTTTCCTTTTCCGCCCTTGCCCTTCGGATGCACCTGGCGCTCTCTGGGATTTCAGGCCGGAGCGAACAAGAGGGCATCTTCCCCAGCAAGATTACGGGAGTATGTATAACCGAAAGCGGGTAAATAACATACTAAAGCTTCGCAGAGCTGCATGTATACGCCTCGTGTTCCTGTAAGTGGTCATTCATACTACTGGTGCTCCTCCTCCTGCTCCTGCTCCTCCTCCGCTCGTAATGACTTCTTGAGTACCAGTTGTAATAGTTCGTCGCCTCCAAGCCCTGGGCACCAGATGACCAAAACATAAACAATGTTGTAGAACACCCTCCTCCTAATATCCAACAAGTTACCAAACAGCGAGAATCGACTTTGGTCGAAAAGCATTCACTGTTCCAGTTGTGTAGGGCGAAATTTGCAAGCCAAACTTCCTGCGGATCCTGCAGACTTCAATGCCTCTGCCGCCTTGCAGTCGCGGTTGTTCCGCTTCCTACCTTCAGATATAACAAAGCTACATCAAGCAAATTCCCCAAGCGCGTCGCCAAACCCTGTGCCCCCCGAATCTGCAACCGCCTGCCCGGCCAGACTATGCTCCCGATAAGCTCGACAATGAAGAACCGCCGACATCTATCGCGGAATCTTGGTTCGGGGGTTCTCAACAAAGCCCCCCTTGAGCTTCGATCTTCGGGGTGGTGGGGTTCAGATCCCTCGATACCACGAAAGCCCATCTAGAGCCTAGGTTATACAACAAGTGCGCATCATCCGCAGTTCGGGCGTGAACCCCAACCCGTTTGTCGACATCAAGACTATGAAAGCCAGCACAAGGAGCACGATGTACAGTACACTAATTATGACGGGTGCGACCTCTTCTTCACGGCGCTTCCTAGCTTCCTCTTCAGAAGCTTTCCTGGCTGCGATTTCAGCCGCGCGAGCTTCTGCTTCTCTTCTGGCTGCCTCTTCAGCAGTCTTTCTCGCCGCGTCTTCTGCAGCCGCTCTTCTCGCCGCCTCTTCCTCTTCAGCTCTTCTTGCTGCTTCTGCAGCGGCTGTCTCTTCAGCAAGTCTTCTCGCCGCCTCTTCTGCAGCCGCTCTTCTCGCCGCCTCTTCCTCTGCGGCTCTTCTTGCTGCTTCTACTGCGGCTGTCTCCTCAGCAAGTCTTCTCGCTGCCTCTTCTGCGGCAGCTTTTCGGGAAGCCTCTTCCTCTGCAGCTCTTCTTGCTGCTTCTACTGCGGCTGTTCTCGCGGCCTCTTCCTTAGCCGCCTCTCTCTCTGCTTCTTCAAGAGCAGCTGCTCGGGCAGCTTCTTCTGCAGCAGCCTTCTTGGCTACCTCTTCTGCTTCTGCTACTTTCCTTAGATTGGTCGGAAAAGTAGGGAGCCACGTAATTAAACCACAAGTGTGGCTGAAGAACACGAAGAGGAATCCCTGCATGTGCAAACAGCTTCCAACGGCTCGCAGACCCTGCTCCTGCGATGTATGGAGACTATCCATCAGCGTTCCGAAAGGACCCTCTGATGTCACGACATGAATGAAGCGACCTCCTTTAGATGGCGGTTCCGGGCTACGGCTACCCATCGCACCCTGTGAAGACCAAGACCGGATCACCAAAGATAAACAAAAGTCGCTGCACAGGAGGGGCCCCGGTTCCCGATTGTCGGGAGAAGGAAATCCTGCTTTAAGTCTTTGCTGACAGGCCTCCTCGCCGCCTCTTCGCGGGCCAAGCGGTCTGCTTCCTCTGCCACCTTCGCAGCTGCTGCAGCCGCAGCCGCTGCAGCCTCGGCATCCTCGCCACCTGACAAACGACAGAGTTTGGGCGTGCTCCGAGGGATGAAGGTTTACTCAGCCGAATTCCAACAAGTGTGCACTTCAGGGGGCTGTGCCATGGATATGCCTAACGTTAGATTAAGGCTCGACACGCTTTCCTTGCTTCTGCGCCAACAGCTTGAGAGCAACATGTCTCCTTTTCATGCAAGGTGCAGCCCCTGCCCATGCTACAAAACTTTCGCTACAACAAGGTGGCATGGAAGAAATGTTTTGAGGCCTCACGGGGGATTCACCACGAATCTGCAAAGCACCAGCGCAAGCATCTTTCCCGAAGGACGACTGATGATGCGCAGGCTGATATAGCAAACGCGGTGGTGCAGCTCCGACTTTTCTTGAGATGATGGCTCGGCTTCGGAGTTTCGAAATGCAGGGCTCAAATAAATGGGGAGTCTTGGGCCTGAGGCCGTTTCCAAGCTCCATGAGCACTATAGAGAAATGTGGAGCTGTGTGGCAACACGACTCTAGCTTACAGTTAACTCCACTCCACGTGGTGCTACGCTCGACCCTTCAAAGAGACAAGGACCTAGACCCTCAACCCCAGACAAACAACACCTCGAAGCTTCACCCGGATGGCATTCAAACGCGAAGGCTTTGAGATGTGAGCCTGGAGGCGGTTTTGGTGGCGTGCGCGTAGATGCCTCAGCAGAAGTATTCTTCAGGAATCCCGGTCGTTCACGTTGTTTGTGCTTTGTGGTTCTGGGCTTGCACGACTTTTCTGCTGTTATGTTAAGCTGTTCTGGTGTTCTTCTCCGTGAAGCTGCTCCATTGCATGGTGTGCTTCATAACAGACCCAGCGGACAAAAACATCGGCACATGGGCCACTAACAAGGCCTAAGTCCCTTGTAAGCAGTTGGTAAGCAGTAGTTTCAGGCGGGCATCTGCTTCGGTTGCGCGAGATTTCTGAAAGCGGACGAGCTCAATTAATGTCAATTAAAATGAATGTCTCTTCAGAGGCTGGTAAGAGTGCATTATTGCTGCTGTTGGACCGGGTACTTAAAACCCAGTTGAGAAGCTCTTTTGAGTGAGCTTCCCAGACCAATTTAACAAGCAATCAAATGATGTCAACATGATTCAACATGCTCAATGGTGGGGGCGTATTGAAGGATGTCGGACCTTTCATTCAGTAACGACGAAGCGAGTCTAGGCTAGGCAGCCCTGTCAGACAGAGCCAAGTCCTCACCTCACAAACCTGACCGGCTCGATGAAAACCACGTCCAATACGTATGCACAGACCGCTTTATCCTCATTACTCTCCAGGACTTGTCTAGGTTTGCCAAGGCGTTTCCATCGATGAATATCAGCAAAATTTCGTTACTACCCAGGCCTGAGGTGAGCGGAACCTACAAGAGCATATGAACCATAGCCACACACAATGACCACTCCAAATCGAAGTTTTGTGGCTCAGGTGTCAGCAATCATGGCCTTCTCTTTCGCCAGCGCCTTCAATGCAAAATCAACCGTTTGACTTCGGAGTCCGCGGCTGTCCTTGTAGGAAGCCGAAATGTCCATCGTCCTACCTCAGCTCCTGCATGTCCGACGCCCAACTACAATGCAACTAAAAGCTGAGACCCCGCAACATGCGCATGATCCCAAACGACGGATGTAATACAAATCGTCTCGGAGCTTGCGTTTACTTTGCACGCTAAATCCTTCTTACTAAACTCTAGGCCTGAACCCAATAAAGGCTTAGGGTTTAGGGACCCTATAAACCCCTACACTCTAAGCAGATATGCAATGGCAAGCCGACTCGGACCGGACCCAAGTCCTCTTGAGATCTTTGAGCGCTCACTCACTAGTGCTACTGCTCTTATAGTTTTGTTGTTGTTGTTGTTCTTATTAGCAGTGGCATTCTGATAAGTTTTGTACCTGCTATGGTTAATATTCCCATTCTTTCGACCATACTAGTACCGTTATCTGTATTAACGTTAATACGAACTAGCAAGATCCCGGGCGAGGACTTTGCAGCTGGTGAAGCCCAGCGGCTATAGGACTCGTTTGCCTACACGGTCTCTTCATTCATTACTATCATCTGATCTTTTAGTATTCGCTGAAGCAGCGACGCCGGATGCAGTTGTGGTCGTGTGGCTCCAGCAAGATTGTGCTGCTTTCGTTGTCGTTGCAGCATTCTTTCGTGTTGTTACTGTTGCTGATGTTGCCGTCCGCTGTTGACGCTGGCCGTTGTCGATGCTCTTGCTGCTGCTGTAGCGGCGGTGGTGGTCATCGTTGTCGGCATCATCCTCCTCGTCGCCGCCGCCGCGCATGCAGCAACACAGTTGTAGCGGTGGGAGTAGCAGAAGGAGACGTCGGAGGTTTAGCAGCCAATGTCGTAGTCGTCATCATCGCCCAGAAAGTATTCCAAGCCATGGTCCTGCTACTGGCGGTCCCAATAAAGCGAAGCGACTTGCTAGAGTTTGAGCTGGAAGCAGCCCACATGCAAAATCAAACAAGCCTTCACTTAGTGTGTTCTAAGAATTTCGCGGCCAAGAGACTGTGCCGCAGTCAAACATTAATTTGGTGAGTGTTTGTTTGGTGTTTTTTTGGTGTTTGAGTTTGGCGTTTTGTTGGCGTTGTGTTTCGAATTGAGTTTTTTGTGATTGAGTTTGGCGTTTTTTGGCGTTGCGATTCGATTGGCGTTGTTTTGGTGCTTGAGTTTGGTGTTACTTTGGAGGGCTTTATTTCGTAATGTTGTATGTTGCGCTTGAGCCTGTCCTATTTTGTTGCTGTTGGAGTATCTTATTGGTGTCTTGTTTGCATGTAGGTTTTTGCTGGTTGTACTTCATGCTTGCTAATGAGTGTGCAGCCCGGTCGCCTGTCGCTTGTTTAAGCAGTCGTGTGTGTGTAGGGAGGCAGTAGTGGAGGGGGAGGGGCCAGGAAAGGGGAGTCAAACCAAACGCCAAACTGAACGCCAAAACTCAGGATGAGGCATCCGTGCCAAGATTCACAGAAACGCCAAAAAACGCCAAACCAAACGACAGAACAAACGCCAACAAATGCCAAAACACTGGAGCATTCACTAAAAACCTATGTATATGTGTATATATGTATATATATATATACATACGGAGGTCCAGATTCGCCGCCTAGATTTGGCGTTTTTGGCGTTTAGTAGACGTTTGGTTGGCATTTGGTTTGGCATTTTTTTTGGTGCTTGATGGTGTCTGGTTTGGCGTCAATTTGCAGTCCAAATTGGTGTTACTGGCTATGTCTGCGTTCTATCTGGAGTCCAAGTTGGCGTTCCTGGAAAGTCTTCGTGTCCGGATTGGCATTCCTCCTCACAAGGATGTCTAAGGGATGGGGAATCATGCTGCAGGCTACTCCACAAAACTGCCAGCACAATCCCAACACAAAAAAACACCAAATTGGAACGCCAAAAACACCGCCAAATCAGAACGCGAAAACAGCGCCAACAAAATCTCGACGCCAAAAAAACGCCAAATCGTAACGCCAACGGAAATGCATCAGGAATGAATAATTGTTTTGCTGATTGCGGCTGCCCGAAAGTCTTCCAATTTTCTTATAGTGTATTTCACCAGGTACGATTGCGAGTCACAGCCACAGCTGTCACAGTGAGACTCAACATCAGAACCTAAATCTTCCCAACGCACCTCTCGCTCGGCCACCTGCGCAGCCCGTAGAGCTGCACCTTCGAAGTCGACTTCCAGCGCTCGAAACCCTGAACCCCATGGGTGTCGTGTCGGAGGTCTGAATGCGTATGCGGCAAACATTCTGAAGCTCTTCTTTTAGATCGTAGTTCGGCCTTGTGGAGTACTCGTCGGATAAACGGAAGGCGTTTTTGCACGTTTCGTCAAGCATCGACTTGGACCCTGAAGCAACGACATCTAATTTTGGTGTCGGAATCATTAGTAATCGTATCCCCTTACAGCCCCTATATAACTTGTGGTACAGAAAGATGCTATACCCTCAGCAACATATTCCAGCGCACCAATTATCTTGAGGGCTCCAATCAGGAAGACGCCGAGACGGGGGCCTAACCCGAGGTCTCGCAGAACTTGCTCCACTGACTCGCAGGCGTTTCGGCCTCGGCAGCAAATCTGGGAAGACTCGGGAATACAACGGGGTTTGGTCTGCTACCTGGAAGCAGCAGCAGTAGTGGTGGTAGCAGCAGCAGCAGGAGCAGGAGGAGGATGAGGAGGGGGACGAGGAGGAGGGGGAGGAGGAGGAGCAGTAGCAGTAGCAGTAGCGGGTAGCGGGTAGCGGGTAGCAGGTAGCAGGTAGCAGGTAGCAGGTAGCTGCTGGTGGTGGTAGTAGTAGTAGTAGTAGGAGGAGGAGGAGGAGGAATAGCAGCAATCGGAATAATAGTGGTAGGTAGTAGGTAGTAGGTAGGAGGCGGTAGGTAGTCGGTAGTGGGTTGTAGGTAGTAGGTAGTAAGTAGTCGGTAGTAGGTAGTAGCTAGTAGGCTGGTGGTGGTGGCGGTGGCGGTGGCGGTGGCGGTGGTGGTGGTGGTGGTGGTGGTGGCAGTCCTTGTGTCGTAGTGGTAGTGGCAGTGGCAGTTGGCAGTAGTCATGGTGTAGTGGTAGGTCGGTCCTTAAGCTTCCTACCGACTACAAAGGGACAATGTGACAACCAGTTCCTGAGGATTTGGCAACCCATGAGCCGTGGGTCAACGACCCGCTCGGAGGTGAATCTAGCAAGCACAAATGGTGTGGGGTGCAAATTACTTGTTTGGGCTGGTCTGTGCTGGAAATGGATATGACTCCGTGCAAAGTGCGTTCCGATCTGGATCTTGACCGTCTAAGCACACCTTTAGCTTACCTTGGAACCCAGAAAGTCTGGGCATCCAGGTTCCGATTCGTGGCGGGAAATGGTGGGGAGTTCGGTGCGGGAAGATGTTTGCAGAACATGACGAACGGCTCTCCAGATTCACAGACAGCCAACCCTTCATTCAGTACACACTTTACAGAGGGAATGGCCATCAGCCTGCCTTAGACCCAGGGCATCGCCAGGCCCTGTTGGTGGACTGTCGTTTAGTTGCCGTCTGCGTTATCCTGCCAACCCGATCTATGCCCGTTAGCTTCCCTAAGCTTGCAAAGCCTGGGGGTCGGAAGCCTCAAAAACTTCAGCAGTAGGCTCTGAGCCATTTGCAAGCTTAGGCTTCGGATCAGCAAGGCTTCTTTCGAGCGTTTCGCATCTAGTAGCATCTGAACTACCGGCTCTGTAACCATGCAAGCTTGGCTGGGCGGCGTCAAGAACGGCACGAATTCTGCCAGTTCTGCGGCAAGAACCACCTGGAAGGGGTGTACAGCATGTCTGACAGGCCCTGTCGGTCCCGGGCTGTAATTGCCCTGGTGTTGGCTATTCTTTTAAATTCGGATTTGGAAGGCTTCTCGGACTCTCATGTCTCTGCAGCCCGTACTCTTGGACTTCAATTAGCACATCCAAAGTGGAACTCCAGGTAATACGTGGCAAGACGGGTAGCTCAAGGCAGAATCATGGTAAATGGTAATTAACTGTGACAATGATAACACGTATCCTCGAAACAGTGGCAACTACGATAACACGAACACTCGTTTGGGCAAGCCACCGAAGATTTCCTTCAGTGCTGCCCGATCTGCGGAAGCCATCAGCGCAGTGGTGAGCATGTCGCGTGCCTTCGAGAGGACTAGAGTATGTCTGTCTGTCGGTGCTTGGGCTTAGTTCAGCGATTCGGGCTGAGAGTTCAGCTTTCAGAAGGCAGGTCCGTGGATGTCTTCGGCTTGTTTTTTGCTTCTGTGAGTCTCTGAGCGCTGCTGCATTTTTGGGCCTGCCCCTGTACCAGATGGTGATGGAATAAGATCATTGACAACTTTTCGGCTCTTTGGTTGCTGTGGAGATGCGGCTGATCCAAGCCGTGAGAGTAACATAGCCGAAACAACCTGCATTCGCAGGCGTCTTTGAGGCCTTCATGGGCTAATGGTATGGCAGACTGCGGTGTCTGGTCCATTGGGATCTGAACTCACAGGGCTTCGGCAGCTTGCGCCGATAACCCCCCGGTAAACCCTGGGAACCCTAAGTCTGAGCCCAAAGAAGCCAATGGCCACGACGCCAAGAGGGCCTGCTCCAGCACTTTCAACAGGTTGATCTCTGCTGACCTGCAAGGCTTCCATAACTGCTCTGCGAGGGCTTTTGGGCTTTAGTATCTACAAGGCTGGGCCAGCGATTCTTCGCCTTTGCGAGGCAAAGCACATTTTTTTCGTATTTTCAGCTGGTTCGCGCCACATCAGTTGTGGAAGGGTGGAATAGCGCCCCGTCCAGCAAGAAACATGATCCAGGCATGTGCTGAAGCGCCTAAACGACCAAGGTCCCGGCTCCAGTTTTACTCTGCTGCCCTGCGACTCCTCCACACGCCTGTGGCAGGAGGCTTCATGGGAGTAGGGATTCAAGTACAAACATTCAGCGAAAATCACAACCATGGACTCGCCAACAACAGCAGATCACCAGAATCTTAAGAAAGCATTGTCGCACCGCCCAGACCTAGACCGCAACAACCCTTGCCCCCAATGATTTGGACCACGCCTGTACGCGGTGTCTAGCTGCGCTAGGAGGTTGTCTGCACCTCGCAAGAGCCAGGATCTCTCAACTTCAGGTTTCTGCATCCCCCGGGCACGCAGAAGCGCGCTGTTGACAGTTGAGGGAGGCTTGAATTCGGGTATCAATTCCCGGCGTGGTCGGGATTACTTAAGTAAGATGCGGAGAGCCGGGAATCGTGCGGTGGTGATAGCAGGCTACCTGGGACGACTTGCAAGAAGTTGGCAGACTTCGGACTGCATCTCAGCAGAGTCCTCCCGAAGGGTTCGGTGGGGAGTGTTTGGTCCTTCGCGCCGGCCTTCTTCTGTCAGCTCTTTGCTTGCCATGGCCCAAACACAGACCCTGTACACTGTCGTGCAGGCCGACTAAAGAGTGGTTGACGAGATGAAGGGTCCGGCTGTCCTTGTACTGGTTGTGCACCGGCAAAACTAGCAGTTCTGAACCAGCGAGTAAATTTTTGACGATGCCCCTAATCCCAAAGCCATGATATGCAGGTTGCTGATGCCACGACGTCATTGCTGCCTTCTTGGTCATGGAAACCACTGTCGCTTCAAGATATGTTGTAGATGGGACCTGCCAATGGAGAATAAAGCAGCTGCTACGACAACCATGCCAAGCGGGCAGGGGCCAGCCAGAATGGGGTTTAAGGGGTGGTGTGGTTCTATACCTTAATGACACTCGGGGACTAAGGAGGGACAGTACTAATAATCACTTCGGTTCCTATGCCTTGGCACTTTGTCCTGGGACTACAGACGGCAGCAGGCAGGCGCTTTTGCGAAGCTGCAGTTGAAACTTCTCTTCGCACTTGACACGAGACACTTCGCTGTTGTACACGGTTTTCGAAGACCTCGCCGGTAGGGCGCAGATGTATGGAGTCGTAGAGCTCTTGAATGCATGTTCCGATGAAAGCTGCCCCCAGAAGCTGCAGACACAGGGTTTTGTCTATAGCCCTGGACGGCTGAAGAATCGAAACTCAAAACCCCAACCCCAAAAGGCTTGGACTTAGAGGTTCAGCGCAATCATGCAGCCACACCCATCACTGCTGTGCAGTCTTCCGGTCCACCCAAAGCTGTGTGCTTGCAACATGCACGATTTCCCTGTCTCCCGGTCCAAGTCTTTTCGCTGCGGCCCGTCCGACTCCTGTCTGGTTCAGGCTTGTTGGCGGCTATGTGTAGTTTAATAAACCCATCTATTCTGGTGTCTTTTGCCATTGCTTTCCACACATCAAATGAGACTTCTGTATGAGGTGGTCAATCAGCGACGCTGCCGGGGCTTCACAGCTGTCTTGTCGAAGGCCTGCAGCAAGTGCGTGTCATCTCTGTACATATCGCTGTCTCTATGCGTAAGCCGGTCACCAACGTCAGTTTGCAGGCCTGCAGGCACAGATGTGTATGTGCAATATGCGACAGCATGCTTCTGTGCCTGCACATGCAACTCAACATCCACGGTTCACATGCATGTGAACACCCGATAGACGCATGGAGTATGAGTGCAGAAGAGAGCACGTGCAAGTGCACGTGCAGGCACATGCTAGAGTGCGTGTGGGGCTGGAGTGCACATATGCAACAAACAACCGAGCTACCAACCAACCTACCAACCGTTCTACGCACAGACATACATACGCACATCAGTGCATGCATGCAGTACATTCGTCACAAAGCACTACTGTACGTGACGTTGCAGTTTTTTAGATTACATTGCATTGCATGAAAATACCTAGCATTGCATCGTATTCCGATGCAACATGACTAGGCAGTAGAATACATTACCATACCTCGCAAACACACATGCACAACCCCTCCCCCCAACACAAACATGCTTACGTACAAGTGTCCGTGCATGCATGACATACATACGTAAACACGTACACACATCTACAGACAAACATGCATGCATGCATACATACACACATACATACCTACACATATGCACACAGGCACACACAGGCACACACGCACACATACATATATATATATATGTGTGTGTGTGTGTCTGTGTATGTATACACATACATACAGACGCACGGACATACATACATACAGACAGACAGACAAACAGACATACATACATACACACATACCTACGTACATACATACATACATACATACATACATACAGCAATGCATACCGAACTACCTACCTACCTACCTACCTGCCTGCCTACCTGCCTACCTACCTACCTACCTGCCTACCTGCCTGCCTACCTACCTACCTACCTACCTGCGTACATACATACATACAT